GGGGGGTGGCAGGAGGAGGGGGACTCTAGCCGTGGCGGGGATGCCGGCCCTGGCTGACAGCCCCTCGCTCTCTGCAGGAGACCGACCAGCTGGAGGAGGAGAAGTCTGCGCTGCAGGCAGAGATCGCGAACCTGCTGAAGGAGAAGGAGAAGCTGGAGTTCATCCTGGCGGCCCACCGGCCCGCCTGCAAGATGCCTGAGGAGCTGCGCTTCTCTGATGAGCTGGTGGCCGCCACCGCGCTGGACCTGGGCAGCCCCAGCCCCGCCGTGGCCGAGGAGGCCGCCTTCACCCTGCCGCTGATGGCTGAGGCGCCACCGGCCGTACCACCCAAGGAGACCGGTGGCAGCGGGCTGGAGCTCAAGGCTGAGCCCTTCGACGAGCTGCTCTTCTCCACGGGGCCGCGGGAGGCCTCCCGCTCCGTGCCTGACATGGACCTGCCCGGGGCCTCCTCCTTCTATGCGTCGGACTGGGAGTCGCTGGGCACCGGGACCAGCGGTGAGCTGGAGCCCCTCTGCACCCCCGTGGTGACCTGCACCCCGTGCCCCAGCACCTACACCTCCACCTTCGTCTTCACCTACCCCGAGGCGGACGCCTTCCCCAGCTGCGCTGCCGCACACCGGAAGGGCAGCAGCAGCAATGAGCCCTCGTCCGACTCCCTCAGCTCCCCTACCCTCCTGGCCTTGTGAGGGGCTCCAGCATTGACTGACCTGCCGGGCCCCCTCCCCTGCCCGCGCACCACCCCCCCCACCCCGGACTCGCCGCTGTGCCCCATGGGGCTCCCCAGGCCTGGGGAGGGCCCTGCCACCGCCACCCCCCCCGTCTGGCCTGGCACCCTGGGGCCTGGCAGAGTGCCCCGCACCGAGGCCTCGTACCTCTTCCAGAGATGTAGCAAATCGCATGGAGTTTGTCTCGTCCCCAACGGCCCATCCATGAGAGCTGGTAGTCTGTAGCATGTCCCACATGGCTGGGTAGGTGACTCCCTCCCCTCCTTAGTATCACTAGCATTAACTAATTAATCTCTTGGTTTTCAATGATTGGAATTTAACCTGGTGCTGGGTATCTCCAACTTGTATCTAGTGCAGCTGATTAACAATAACTACTGTGTTCCTGGCAATATCGTGTTCTGATGACTTAGCAATGACCCATCTTACCTGGGGGGAAAAGAGACTCTATTTTATTTTCTAGTAGGTAGATAAATAGCTATATCCATGTACTGTAGTTCTACATTGATGTTCATTGTAACTTTACTGATCATGCATTGTTGAGGTGGTCTGAATGTTCTGACATAAGTTTTCCATGAAAACGTTTTTATTGTGTTTTTAATTTATTTATTAAGATGGATTCTCAGATATTTATATTTTTATTTTATTTTTTTCTACCTTGAGGTCTTTTTTGACATGTGGAAAGTGAATTTGGATGAAACTTAAGCATTGTTTGCTTATTATTGTTCAGAGACATTGTCAATAAAAGCATTTAAGTTGACTGCTGGAGCTGTCCTTGTGTTACCTTTAGCATTGCTTCCCTGTGACCCTAAAGGAGTTCCCTAACCTCTGATTTAAGCTGGGCTTTATAAACTGCAGATGGGTGCTAGCTGCCTGAGGCATAAGGCACATCAGAGTGGGAATATCATTAAGGACAGGTCTGGCCTTGCCCTGGTGTCAGTCAGGGCTGGCTGTGGCTATGCCCTTTCCCACCCACCCCCAGTGGGCAGTGGGGTCACTCCTTACAGCCTTCCCTATCTAATCTGTCTGGCTTGGGTCTCCTCCTGCTCCTCTGTGTGTCACCTGCTGTGGCCTTTCAGTGGCAAGCTGGAGACCGCATTGGAAAGGAGGTAAAAAGGGCAGGTGAGTTCATGCCTCTGAATCAGGGAGGCCATCTCTAGGCTGGGTCCACCTAATCATTTGCATGTGCCCAACAGCCCAGCTTCCTCCTGCCTGGGGAGGAGTGGACAATGTGCCCAGGCTCTGGGTGCCCCTGGACTTGGTCTGGCACCTCTGGGAGTAGCTATAGTGTATCCTCTTCCGGCCATGAGGGGAGGAGAAACACTCATGCACTTTCTTCTTGCTTTGGGCTGAGTGGGCTGACCCTTCTCTTGCCCTGCTCTTCCTATTAAAGCTAGCCCAGTGCTTGAATTGGAGTCATGGCAAACAGCCCCCCCCCCCCCCCCCCCCCCGGGGTGCCCCCCACCTCCGCGCTC